ATCAGTCATAAAGATCTTAACTGCAGCTATCACATATCCTAAATATGTAATTGCTGTGGAGCCTTTCCAGTCTATTGGTTACAGGATGCTGGAAAAAGGGGAAGAGAGCACAAATGTAGGCCCTGATGTCTGTGGGTATTTTGGGGGGATATTGAGCAGATTGGTCACCTGCCTGAAATATTGTATACCTATTTTTTAATAGGATGGAACCCTGGAATTCAGTTGTGCAAAGATGAATGAGTAATTCCATTCGCATGGTGAGCTCACTGATTGCTCTGGTGAGTAAACAATGAATTTTGTCTGGGTTTTGGGATTAGGGCATCCACCCTCAGCCCCACATGCTCCAGGGAGAAGGACTGAGCTTATAAATGTGCCTCCATCCACATGTGGATCTGCCCTAAAATCAGTGGTGGCTTTGGTAGATGGATGCAGCCCAAGAGGACCAGGTTGCTCTCATCTGTTCTGCCCAAACCTAGAGAATCAATACCTAAAAATACTGAAAGAAAAACTCAAAATACTAGATTTTGAGAGATTTTAAAAACATTTTGGTCAAATGTAGTCTAGGTATGGATTGGCTGGTTCATATTTTGAATGATCTATAGTGACCAACCTAAAGTGAAATGGCACCTCTGCTTATTTCCAGTAATTTTTTTGCTTTCAAGAGAATCCCTCTCCCATGTCCTGGCCATCTTTAAAGAGCACAGCTTACAAATATTTAAAACTTAACCCAAATGAAGCCTCTTGTTCTTTTTTCTTTCAGTATAATATGAAAAGCATGGAAGATTCAGCCTCAAAAATTACTAAAGATGTTTAACACTCACCATTAAAATCACAAAAATGATGCAATTTATTGTTATCCGAGAAACACTTGCTTTCAGCCCTTTCTTTAAAGGATTGTGTGAGATATTTACATACTAAATTAATGTGAATGGCTGCTAAATACACACCGAAATTCTTCCAGCTGGGAGACACGGGTGTGCAAAGGCCAGGCCACTTGGGTTCTTGAGGAGAGCAGGGGGAGAAGCTCCCCCAAGCCCAGAGGCAGCTGAGATGGAGCTTGGGGGTGGGCAGCTTATATAAACCCTGGATGTGCTCGCTCTGCTGCAACTTTTTTATAACAAAGCCCAAATTTGGAGTCTCTCATTCTTATGATTCTACCCCGTGCTTTTCTCCACCCCCTCCTGAGCTATTTTTTTTTTTTTTTAATCCCTAAATTCAGAAGGTAACTGTGAAGCTGAAGTTTCTCTCTCCCTCCCCTTGGTTTGGTGGGACTTTGGGATGCTGAGCTCCACCCTGATGGGCTCAGCACCCCGAGGGCTCCCCACGCTCACCATGGATGGGCAGCGAAGAAGACAACAGTGATCTGTACTTAACATTAGGTGGCACAAAAGAGTTTCCTTTTGCTCGCAGGAACACTGAAATCGATGGGCAACAACCAGCAGAGATTTTTATTTTCTTTTAAACGAAATTCTCCTATTTTCTCCAGCTTTCCAGCAGCCTTTGAAGTGCTTCTGTTTATAAACTTACTTGATTTCGTCTTTCATTGCATCTCTTTTGTCTCAACCTAATTTGTTTTAAAATAAGCCATAAGCCAGCCCTTGCTGTGGTTGTATTTACAGAGCAGCCAAAGGGCTCTAAAACGGGCTAATTTCAGTGAAACGCCTTCTGTCCCTCCTCCAAAGCAAGGCTGCCTTTAGGAGCTGTGCCTGTCTGTGTCCTGCACGCTCAGAGCCACCGTGAGCACTGGGCTGCTTGAACCTGGATTCTCCTCCGTGTCCTCAGCTGGGGCTGCTCACAAACTGCGGCTCTTTACTCCTGCTTTGGTGCCCACGCCACATTCATCCTGTTCCTGGAGCTGACTGAAAAATCGGGCTTTGGGGGGTTATATTTCCTTCTGCTGCTGCTGTAATCCTCGTGCAGAGAGAGCCGGAGGTCGCGGTGCCGCTGCGGAGCCGCCCGGGCTCCGCTGCCCAGCGCAGGGCGGCCGCGGGCCCGCTGCCCCCAGGGCCGCGGTGCTGCAGCTCCCAGGGCTTCACCAATGAAATAAATCACGTTTACGGTTCAGAAACAATGCACGGCCCACTGTTCACATCCCAAATCCCTCTGGCTGCCCGGTGCAGGAGGGCTGGTGTGCGGTGGGAAGGCGCCTGTCCACTCGCGTGCTGCTGCTTATTGAAGACGAGGGCTCGCTCCCCGCTCGGGCGCTGCTCAGGATTCCTAAAGGTAAAATTTCCCCCCACCCTACACTGCTGGCAGAAGGGTTGGGTATTGTTTTCTCCGAGGTTCGGCTTCAGAAAGGGGGAGAAAAAAGAAAAAATAAAATAAATAAAAGCCGGTTTCGCTGGCCATCGCTTGAAGTTTTGCTGCTCTGCTGGCTCCCCCCGCACCCCCGGTAGATGCGATTGTGAAATGTCATTGTTCCTCCGCACGCCGCCCTCCGCGCCGGGGGAGCGGCCCGGGGCGGGGACGGGGCTGCGGCCCCTCCGCTGCCGGCGGCCGCGGCCGGGCACGGTGGGCGGGGGACGGGCGGAACAAAAGCAACTTGCCCGGTGCCCCGCTCGGTGCCGCGCTCGGTGCCCCGCTCGGTCCCCGCTCGGTCCCCGCTCGGTGCCGCGCTCGATGCCCCGCTCGGTGCCGCGCTCGGTGCCGCGCTCGGTGCGCGGCCGGGGCAGCGCACGGATATCGATACCCGCGCACGGATATCGATACCCGCGCACGGATATCGATACCCGCGCACGGAACGCACCGAGGCGCGGCTCCGGCCGCGGACACACGCTGCCCTGCCCAAGCCGCACGGATCCTTTTTCCGCCCCAAAAGCGCTTTTTCCCCCCAGCCCGAAGCCGCGGCAGGTGCCAGCGGCACTGCCCGGATCGGCCCCTCCAGCCCCCCCGGCCGTGCCCGGGGCTGGGGGCCGGGGGAGCCCCCGCAGCCCGGCTCGGCCGGCGCACAAACCACGCACCCGCACTTTTACAGCTATTTTGTTTTTCTTTCGTAAAAATGTTTATTTAAACCTTTTGG